AGGTGAGTCGCACTTCCCTTTAATCGGGGAGGGAGCACTAGGCCCTTCCTCATCTGGTCTTACTGCCTGTGGACCAGGAGACTGGACCACCTCTTCTTCCCTATTCTCTGTGTTCTTTGCAGCATTCTCTGCTCCATCCTCTGAGACCGGCATTTCCTTCAAACTCCTGCTGTTTCCTTGCTCTGTTACCACCATGCCGTCTATAGAAGAACGGACAGGCTCTGCACTCTTTTGTTTACCGTTTGGCTTCCACACCTGTTTCCGTTTTCCCTTTCCCTTTACAGACTTCTTCTTCTTCTTGCCCTTGCCCTTACTTTGGGAGGGGACATTGACCTGGACTGGTGCTTGTTCCTGGTTCTTTTCGGTAAGGGGGACTGGCTCCCTACCCTGAGTTGCAGACTGATCAATACCAACTTTGACAGGAACGTCCACGTCCATTCCATCCTCCTTTTGCTGGGGAGGATCTTTCTCTACGTTGTTGTCCTTGTTCGAAGCAGAAGCCTGCGAGGCAGAGGCATTTGAAGACAGGCCAGGGTCTTGCCGGAGGGGAGGAGGGGGGGAGGGAACAGTCCCCTTCTCCTTAGTCTCTCGTGTTTTTCCGTTCTCACTCGTTTGTCCCTTACCCTTCCCTTCGTCCTCCGGTGGTTTATCTGCACGCGGTTTATCTGCACGCTTCTCTTTCCTTGCTGCCTGTTTCTCTTTATCCTGGTTCCGTACCGGGTCGGGGTTCTTCTTCGGGCAGACATCATCCTTTTCTGAGTGAAAATATTGATGACACGCTTGACACCAAGGTGTCCGGGCGTGAATTACGTCAATTTCCACATACCCACCTTTTATCATATCTATAATTAAACACGGTTTGTATCTCGAGCGGGCCGTCGGATCGAGGTCAAACCGGATGTTGACAAGCTCTGCGAAGGTTTCGTGTGTTTTGAGAATCTTCCCAAAAGCCTTCCTGACTGCTGAAGCGAGGTACGGTAGAGCAGCAACAGGCACAAACATGCATCTAATCCAAAAATAGCTGATTCGTGCTGCCTCCCGCCATTCGTACAACTGCTGTTCGTTCATCCACGACCGAAATGAGATTGAGTAGGTTTTTCCATCTAACTCAATGTTATCTTGTTGTTTTTTCAGCAGCCACGTGGAGATTTCTTTGGCCGAGGCAACATAGGTAACGAGATTAAAACCTTCATTGTGGAATAACGCCCTTTGGGCAGCGCATTAATGGTCCCGTTCTTCGCCCACGCATTTTCATACCTTCGAATTAGGCAAATTTTCACCGCCACAGGCAGGGATTTGGAATCGTTACCAAAGAAAATGGAAACGGCGTTTTCATTGAGCCATTCCTCCTGCACTGCGAAGTGTTCCGGATTGACTACTACCCGTGCATAGTCATCCCCCAATTCCACTTGATCCGAAATCAAGTCCTCCGAAAGGAGCCCTTCCTTATAGCAAGATTCAAAGATATCTTGGATCCTTTTCTTTTCTGCCGGGCCCATCATGGAGGGGGGAGGGAGAGCTGCCGTAGTTGCCATGGTTACGATCCCAAATCACCCCTCGTGTAGAACCTCGAAACCAACACTCAAAGATAAATACGGTCTAATTCACGCTAGACAAAGACGGCAGGATAAATACGTTCGTGGCCTAAAGTTCCAACACAAGCAGTT